AACATTATTAGCAACCTTCCTTATCCTATTATTATTATGGGTGATTTTAACGCTCAACATGAAGCTTGGGGAAGTAGTAGTTCTAATTATTACGGTAATAGGATTTTAGAAATTTTAGATAACAATCAATTATGTATCTTAAACTCTGGTGTTGCAACTCGCAGGACTGCGCCTCATGAGGGAGTGAGCGCTCCTGACTTATCTCTTTGTTCTACTAATTTAGCTTCGTCATTATCATGGTCAACATTAACTTCATCGTATGGCAGCGACCATTTCCCAGTTGTCATTGAATTTCCAGATATTAATAGGAATGTAAATAATCGCGATCCTCGAATGAAATACAGACTTGACCGAGCTGATTGGAGCCTATTTAAGGACAAGGTAGAACAGGGTCTTTCATCTCTACCGGTTGTTAGTGAAAACAATCAATCAGCATGTGCTGATGCTTTAGCCTCTTTATTAATCGAATCTGCTAATCAGGTATTTCCTATTAAAAACGGTCGGCATACTAATAAAATCCCCTCACCACCTTGGTGGGATAGCGAATGCTCAGATGCTGTTAGGAGAAGAAAGGAAGCGGAAAGGAATTACTGCGCTTTTTCAACAGAAGCTAATTTTAATTTATTAGTTGAAATAATGTCAAACACCAAAAAATTATTAAAACGTAAGAAGTGGGAAGGTTGGAAAAACTTTTGCTTATCTATCTCGCCAGATGTTTCCCCTTCCTTTGTTTGGACTAACATAAGAAAATTTAGATCTGCCTTTAAAGAATCTCAGCCGCCGTCTCTTAATGATACTTTAATCGAAGAATTTTTAGATAAACTTGCTCCTCCTTCTGTTGCTGAGAATCTTTTTATCCCCAATGATGCCTTATTATTTACTAATATTGAACATTCAGTTCTTAGCGATCCTTTTTCACTTTCTGAGCTTAAAGGAATTTTAACTTATGTTAAAGACTCCGCGCCGGGTGGCGATGGGATCCCCTACTCATTTCTCTGTAACCTTAGTAATTCTAGCTTATTATATTATCTAACTCTTGTAAATTCTATTTTTAATTCTGGTTGCGTTCCACCGTCATGGAAATCTCAGGAAGTAATTCCAATTTTGAAACCCCAAAAGCCTCGAGAAGACCCCAATTCTTACAGACCAATTGCACTCTCATCCATTCTTATGAAAGTAGCTGAGCACTTAATTAAAAATCGGTTGGAATGGTTTATGGAAAGTAAAGGCCTGCTTAGTAAGAGTCAATACGGTTTCAGAAAAGGGAAGAGTTGCGCAGATAGTATAGGCATTTTTTGTACTGATATTAGATTGGCATTTTCATGTGGCACTTCAGTTCTTTCGGCTTTTCTTGATATAACAGCAGCATATGATAATGTGTTGTTAACTGTTCTCAAAAGTAAACTTTTACAACTACAAGTTCCCGGTTTGCTCGTAAATTTCATCCTAAATATCTTATCTATGCGCACTATAAATGTTATTCATGACAACAAAATCGCATCCAGGTTATTAAGCAAGGGCCTTCCTCAAGGATCCGTCTTGAGTCCTTTGTTATTTAACATCTATAGCTATGATTTAGAAGCTTCTATGAATAACAGTGCTCATATTTTACAATATGCTGATGATCTGCTCCTATATGTTAGTGGAAATAATATACAGTTAATGTGTGAGTCTCTTACATATTCTCTCACCCTGTTAAAATCATGGTTAGATCAAAATGGCCTTAGCCTTTCTCCTTCTAAAAGCTCAATAGTTCTGTTTTCTAGAATCCGTTTTCCACCCCCAATTAGTGTTTATTTTGATAATCAACCAATCCCGGTTAAAAATGAAGCCAAATTTCTAGGAATCATTTTAGATTCCAAAATGACAGGTCTTCCACATTTCTATTACATCAGTTCTAAATGTGAGCGACTATTAAATATCCTCAGATGTCTAACTGGTGTCTGGTGGGGCGCTCATCCGTTTTGTTTAAAGCTCTTATATAATGCCCTTATCAGGAGTATACTCGATTACGGAACTTTCTTTCTTGAACCCTGCAGTATGGTTGGACTTCGTAAATTGGATTTAATCCAAAGTAAAGGTCTTCGGTTAGTAACTGGTGCCATGAAGTCGAGCCCTATCATTGCTCTTCAAGTCGAGTGTGTCGATCCACCTCTTAAGCTACGTCGTCAATACTTAAGTGATAGATTTTTATTCCGAGCATTACAGTTTTCGAATCATCCTCTCCATTCAAAACTTCAAAATCTTTTAGAATATGTAGAATCTTCTTCATACTGGTATCACAAATCTCCTCCGTGTCTAGTAATCAGTTATCGTAAATACATATCTCTGCAAGCTCCTACCCATAGTTCCTCTTATCTGCCAATTTTTAGTAGTAAATATGAAGAGTTAATGTTCTCTCCAGAGATTTATTTTGATTTAGGTGTTTACAAAGATGATCGAAATGCCCTCACAAACTTTAATTTTATGATTGACAGAGATTGGTCTAACTGGCATCATATGTATTGTGATGCATCTAAGCATTCTAATAGCCAAGTAGGCGTTGGAGTCTATCATGAACAATTAAAAATAGTTCAAAAAATCAAATTCCCCCCAGAAACATCTGTATTTACAGCTGAATGTTTCGGCCTTTTCAAATCTCTTGAATACATCTTAATTATGAAATTGCAACAAACTATTATCTTCACTGATTCAAAAAGTGCTCTTCAAGCTCTTGTTAAATTCCCTTTTAAGTCAAATACTTTCTATCCTGTAATCATGGATTGTAGACGGCTACTATTCAATTGCTTCTTAAAAGATTTAAAAGTCGTATTTGGTTGGATTCCTGGTCACAGTAATATTCCTGGGAATGAAAAGGCAGATCGCTTAGCTAATGATGCAATTTCTTGTGGTGACATGTTTCCTTATAAAAATTACAGTCATGACTTACTTTCACTTCCCAAACTCTCTCTTATGGAATCCTGGGAAAGTCAATGGACTGACAGCAGTCAAACTAAAGCAAAACACTATAGGAATATTCAACCACATGTTCCTCTCAAACCGTGGTTTTTCAAACTGAAGCTGGATAAGGCAGGGACTAGTAGCCTCATTCGTATGCGACTGGGTCATGTTTGCCTTCCCTTCCATTTGGCTAGATTAAAGATTGTAAACAGCGACAAATGCGACTGTGGAGACGGAAGTGAAGTGGGTGACATAAACCATTGTTTATTTTCCTGTCCTAAATATGACCGCTCCTCTTTTATATCTTCCTTACTTTCCCTCCGTGTCCCTTTTCCTTCTTGCATTAATTCTCTTTTATACACGAACGACCTAACTATATATAAATGTATCTCTATTTATTTATCTAATAATAATATAAAGATTTAGTTTTTATACATTTGATTGTTTATTGCTGAAGTAATATTTACATTTCAATTACCTATTTTCCTATAACTACTGCCTGTTCCTACCTATACTGATCCTAGCCCTAAATTCCGAAATTCCGTTTTTTACTGATCCGTTTCCCTACCTTGACATTGGCAAATGCGCAAGCCGCGCGAGCCATTAAAAAAAAAAAAAAAAAAAAACAGTTGTGAAAAACGAAGTGAAACTTGAGGTATTATGCAAAAAAACCTTGGTTTCCAGTAAAAATCGTTATAGTCTATCCAATATAGCTTGATTAGAATGACAGCTGTCATCAAAAGTAACGACATAACTTTGTAGTAGCGATCAATGAGAGCTAAATATTGGCGGACAAGAAATAATTCACGTCTGACCTACAAACAATATTTTCGACGACAGTGCTTCCAATAAAAATGATAATTTCGTGTAAATGCAGCGTTAAATTACACCAATAAGTAGTAATTCGAAATTATAAAAATCAAGCTAGAGTATTAACGACGTCTCTACAAGGTTATCTCTATTGATATTAGAACTTCTTGTAACAAAATATGTATTGTTTATGGTAGCATGTGAAAGAAATAAAACACAGTCGTTGCAAAAATCTACGTTTGTTTCAATAGGTTATGGGCCTAGACAATTTTATCAGATTTATTTTAGTACAAAATAGATAAATTGTGTTACGTTATTTTTGCGGAAACAGAATGGCTACGAACTATATTGCAAATGTGCCAAAATTGAAAGGCAGGGAGAATTACGACGAGTGGTGTTTTGCGGCAGAAAACCTACTGGTTTTAGAAGGCATGGTTATGTATATAAAGCCAACGGATGACTTTGAACTAAAACCGATAGACGACGCAAAAACGAAGGCAAAGCTAATATTGACGATTGACCCAGCATTGTACGTGCACATAAAGAACACTAAGAGCTCGGCAGAATTATGGAATACACTGAAGACCATGTTCGATGACTCTGGTTTCTCAAGGAAAATAACCCTACTTCGACATTTGATATCTATACGACTCGAAAATTGCGACTCAATGGCTACCTACATAACGCAAATAGTCGAAACGGCTCAACGGTTAAATGGCACGGGTTTTACAATTACTGATGAATGGGTTGGGTCATTATTATTGGCAGGATTGTCTGAACGTTATACTCCAATGATCATGGCAATTGAACATTCGGGGATTTCGATAACTGCAGATGTCATCAAAACAAAATTGCTCGACATGGAAGTTGCAAGTGACTTTGAAGGCAGTACTAGTGGAACAGCATTTGCAGCGAAAAACANTTTCAGAGATTCACATTATGTTATAAAGTCAATTTTGATCTAAGTCGAGTTAGATCCCTTTTCACTGGGGGTACAGAATTATCGTAATTAAGAAGCAGTCTCTGATTTCATCGTAACGCGAAATGATCACGTAGAATTCAATGTAATGGATCACTAAGCAGAAGATTAATAGCGTTATAGCTAAGTATAATCGGTTAATAATTCGGTAATTTGTCAAAAAAGTAATTTATTTACTTAGATAAATACTGGATCATTCAACGTCTTTTTAGATGAGCACAGCACAATATACATATGGTTTTAAATGTTTACAGATATGAAATTCCCTTACCTTTCTATTGCCAACACACGACATGGAAACAGTAGTTGCAGCGGGGCTCTGAGCTCGTTGCACGCGTTGCACCAACCAACTTGGCTAAGAACGGAATCGCTCACTCGAAACGCGTTGCCGACATTGCGGTATTAAGGACTAGGTGCATACCGTCTTACCTCATCCATGTCCATTGCTGAATCTCATTGATAGTTATCCTTTATAACAATATAAACACAGCTATAGCACTATTTTATCTTAAACTTTAGAAAGGGTAATTCTTTATAGACATTGTAAAAACAACGAATTAAACCAGACACCAGTAACTTTAACATTACGTATGTTACCAGTGAACTCGGGATCTTGCTATACAGTGTGAGTCACGTTAAAGTGTACATATGAAAATAGATGAAACTAGACCTATTTTTATCGACAAAAAAGAGGTCAAAATTTTTTTGAAATTTTTTTTTAATTTTTTATAGAACTTTTTTTCTTCCAATTACTTATTGTAAAGAAAACGTAATAACTTTTAAACTAAGCGGTATATCCTCATGAAATAAAAACAGTAATAATGCTAAATAACAGGCAATACTAAAAAAATACATAAAATACATAAAAAAGGCCAACAAATAATAAAAAATGATACTTTTTGAAAAAAATCTGCTTTTAAATTCGTGTTTTTTTTGGTTATTTGATAAATTTCTCCAAAAAATGCCCCTATAACCGGTGGTTTTTATTACTTTGTATTATTCTCTATCGTANTTATGTATCTTTAGTATCGCCTGTTATTTAGCATTATTACAGTTTTTATTTTATCAGGATATACCGCTTAGTTTAAAAGTTATTACGTTTTCTTTACAATAAGTAATTGGAAGAAAAAAAAATCTATAAAAAATTAAAAAAAAATCTCAAAAAAAATTTGACCTCTTTTTTGTCGATAAAAATAGGTCTAGTTTCATCTATTTTCATATGTACACTTTAACGTGACTCACACTGTATAAGTAGCTTGACCATTATATTTAAAGCAGTCCAATAAAATTAAGAGGTTCTAAGCTAAATTGTCCAGAAAACATTTTCAACTTACAATTGGTAGTTCTAACACAGCAATTCAATACTATATCTTATTTGTTATTAAAGTATTATAATTTCATCCTCTCGTGTCTACTTAAAACAATGACAAATTATCCACCGGTTTCTTTAATAACTTACGTACATTTATGCTTTTTATTATTATAGACCTAGCGATAAACGATTTTATTGTATTAAAAGATAGCCAACAGCTAATAAATATTATCTATACACAAACACAACTACGAAATTATATGAAATATCAAAATACTCATTTAAATACGAAACCCTAAAAAAGACAGTAGGAACCTACTTCTGGAAATAAATGAAAACAAGCAAAGTAAACTTAAAATATTTATTGTATAAAAATATAAAATTTTAAATCGAGATAATCCTTTAATTTGTTTCATATTTAGATGATGTTTAAAATACCAAAAAGGACATTGAAAAACTGCACTTTTATCTTAGCCATAAAGCAATATTGAAAACTTCAAAAGCCTATCGGTTTACAAATTCTTTTGAACATTTACTTTTTAAAAGTAAAAGTAATTTATTATTTACATACAGGCTTTTAAAAAGCACACATCATAGGCTAGACTTTTTAAATTAATTTAACATGGCAGACATTTTAATATTTATATTTATTTAAACTTTATGGAGCTGATATCTAAGTTAATATTGCCATAAATTTGAGTGTGTGATAGGTATAAAGAATAATAAACTAATCGAATTCTAGCTGCCTAAAGGATCCTTCGATTCCAAACATATCTTCAGCCGTCTTCGGTTTACCGGGACGCTTGCTTTCATCGGTGCCAAATTGCATATCTTCCTCCAACCAATCTTTGTACTCCACATACTTCTTTTTCCAGTAGTCTGAAACAAAGAAAGCGTAAAAAAACATTATACTAGCTTTTGCCCGTGGCTTCCCTTGCGTAAATTTCGGATCGTCACAGAAAGCCTTCATTTACTCGTAGGAATAATGTAACTTTCTATTGTAACTTTCGATTTCCAACTTAAGAGTTCGATTCGTACTACTACTTACTATAAACAATTTTTTTTTCGGTTTTTTGACACTCAGCAATAATGTATCTTTCTATTGGTGAAAGAATTTTTAAAATTGGTTCAGTAGATTCTGAGATTACCCCTTACAATTTAACAAATATACAAACACACACACTTTACCTCTTTATAATATTAGTTAGAAAAGATATTTAGGCTGAGCTGCACCATCTTACTTTGACTTTAATAAACGTCAAAAATCTGTCAAACTCCATACAAGAAGCACCGGTTATTGTTATTGTTCCGGTTAAAATAAGGTGTACAACTTAGCCTAAAACTTAGTCCGATCATATTAATTTAAATCTTTTTTATTATTATTTATACTGGTAGCATACAATTTCTTTCAATCATACCTGCAATTTCTTTGATAGTGCCCGCAGTGCCTCCATACTCGGCAGGCAAGTACTCTTTAGGAATAGTCTTGTAGAGCTCTTCATAACTCGAGTGAAACGCTATCTGTTGAATTAAAAATATTAATCATAATTTATATCGATCGAAAGAGTAATCTCTTCCAGAGAACATGAGGAGAAGAGAATTGTTTAAAATAATATTCGACTAAAACATATGATAAATACTACATAAAACCTAGAGTAATATTTTGCTTTACCCTAGGTTTTATGTATTTTGCATGACGTGGTTATAAACAAATAAATCATAAATAACTAGTATAATTTACTTACTCTACTTCGATTTTTTTCATTAAGGAACGCTTTGAAAGTGTTGAATATGGTTGTGAAAAATGATGGTGAGTTGACATAGTGGAACCCTTTCATTCGAATAGGCGCAGCATCCTGAAAAAAGTGAAACATAATTTGTTACATGGTTTTAAATTTTCATATTTAACAAACTTTCGAACTATAGACCCGAATTAGCATAATATCAAAAATATTTAAATGCTTAGTCAAATATTTTATTCATCATCATTTCATCCTATTCCATTTATTGTCCCAAAGCAGTGGTTATGTTAAAGTAATACTAATGACAGGTGTAAAACGCTTTTTAAAAGCTTACTTATTTGCAAAAGGTAAATTTTATGACTTGTTACCTTTTGTCAGTTTTTCGTCAGTTTACTTTTGTACTACTATGACTATTACTACCTTTGGCATGGACCACGCCATACATACCATAGCCAATATTACCAATATTTTATGAAATACCGAAAATCACTAAATAAAACTATTCTTTAAAGCTGAATTCCACGATATCATGATCATCATGTGACTCTACCTGTGAAAATACAGTCATTTTCTTCATCTGCATTGGTGACATTTGCATAAAGTGCGCCATAGTTGCTCCTTCGAGATCCATTATAGATGTGCCTCCCGCAACGACATAATTGTCATTTTCTAAAAGTAATATCTGTAAATAAATATTTGTATGTTTTAATTTTTTGTATTCCCTTTAACTGTAAAAAATAACCAACAATATCCACACTTAGGCTGAGTTGCACCACCTAACTTTGACCATAACTTTAACGATAACCGGTGTTTTTTGTATGGAGTATGACTGATTTTTAAAGTTTGTCAAAGTTAAAGTAAGATGGTGCAACTCAGCCTTAGAAAGTAAGAACTGAACTTGACACCTGCTATTTGACATGTGCGTGTGAAAGAAAGCCAAGCTGTAGTGTACAGATGGTAGTGGGTGGTAGGTTCATACCTTTTGCATGATACCAGAACAAGCCATGATGTCCATCATCGAGTATTTGCTCGGGTCGTAGACACCGGGCCGGATTATAGCGATCAGGGGCGACGCGGGACCCGGGGGCTTGGGAATCATTATCATAGGACTGTGGGCAAATAAAAAGAAACATTAATGTATTGGTTACTATAAATCAGAGATTCATATGAGACTTTTAAGGAACAAAAAATTATAAAAAATTGGCAATAGCTCATCTCTTAATATTTAATTCGAAAGAAGCATAAAACTACTATACCTACCACAATTTTTATAAACTTCATAGGTACTAGCTTTTGCCCGTAGCTTCACCTGCGTGAATTTCGGTATGAGTCACAGAATGTTTCTAATACTAATTTATTTTCTTGTATGCGTGTTTCTCTTGTTGCTTGAAAATAAAAAAAATAATATGAAAACCCTTACGAGATATCAAGCATTTCGTAGAATAGTGCATCGCTTGGCTTTGTGAAGAACTCCGGGGCGGCAGAACGCATTGTGTAGTAGAGATCCAACTTCTCCTTGGCTCTCTCCAGGCTGTACTTGCAGCCTCGTAGGAACACAACCAGCCATTGGTCATCTGGAAATAGAACATTTGATGTAGCATTTATTAAAAGAAGATAAGTCAGTTATAATAACGTGGCTCCATTTTGGTACATAAAAATTTATTTGCCAGGTATCTGCTTAACTTTAATACTCTATCTAGAAAAATTATAATGTACCTTATACAAATTAAATATGGTTGCAGACATTTTTATTTCAAGTAGGTAATATTGCTGAAACATTTTTTTTGTTTTATTTTTTGTGATAATAAATCATTATTGACCCTATATTCTATAGTTTTGAAAGACTCTAACTCGGTTAAATGAAAGTCAAAAGTCCACCTTTTATAATTATTATTAAAGATTTTGTTTTTATATCAAAGTTATCATATAAAGTTATCAGATAAAGTACGTTACGGCCTAATTTGAAGCATCAAGGACACCATTATCGTGTACCACATATTATCCAATTTTACTTCCTAGTTTTACAAAGTTTATTTGATTTTATGTATCGCCATAATCTCACGTCCGTTTGCCAGAATAAAGGTAGCGAAGTGAAAACGTTAAAAAAATTATAAAAACAAGCTTTTAGTCCAAAATTTTACATTTTATTAGGACAAAACTAACGAGCCCGAACTCGACAGAGTTTCGTTTCGTCAGAGTTCCTATGGTCACCATTAACAGATCACTTCCATGACATCATTTTATTGCATCAGCTCAACCGGTTGTCAGGAAGTAGGTCTAATTTAGTTTGCAATCTTGCAAGACCCACTTCCTACAAGTTAAATAATAGCTTGTTAAAAAAGACTGCCATTTATGGAAAAGATACGCTTGAATATATACTATGCATTCCCGTCCAGGAATGGAGATGAAGCAAATGAAATTAATGGTTAGAAATAAGTACATAGTTTCCAGTTGCACAGGAACGCTAATCGGCCATTTTCTACAATTGACACTTCATGTATTAATTTAGCGATAAGTACGAAGTTCGCCTGGCCAGCTAGTCACTAATATTTACCTGTCCTTGCCCTCAAATGAGGTTGTTTGGCTATCCAGTCCTTCAGATGCTGTATATCACTCTCGATCCTCTTGGGATCTTCATTCAGCTCCACCCGAGCTTTCTCGGCTAGTTCGGGAGTTAAGGGACGCACGGGCATCTTTCAGTACCTTTCCGACACCAACACCTCTCGAATGTAAACTAAGTACTTGCATTGCCCATTTTGTGTTTAGTGCTGCGATAGGTATAAATTATCACTGATTAGCTATCTAATAATCCAGAACGATTAATACACTAGTAACCTACCTCGGTTTTGCGCGGGTGTTAAAAAATTTTCAGGCTTAAATCGAAGTTACAATTAAAGAGAAATTGATATTATTTTTAATCTTGATTTTTGTAATCTTTGCCGGTGGTGACACCTATCCAATTGCAATGGTTCGACTGATTGCATTATAATTATGATCATTAACTAAGTATAATAAATAAGCTGGTTTTCTATATTGAATCCTAATCCAAATCCGTCCGTCAACTGTCAAATTTTAATTTTTTGTTTGTTTTCGATGTTTTTGTTGTTTATAAGACTATTTAGAAAGAAAGAAACATATATTACGATGAACATCACTCAGTTAAGAACAAAGAAAGTATACGGAAAAAAAGACAGAAATAGCACATAAATATTACAAGGAAATAAAAAGTGAACTGAGTGCCACCCTGTTGCAACAGCGATGCTCCGCTCAGCAGTATTAAATTATCTGTGGCTCAGCATAGGTAACCCGTGGCCCACGGTGGGGAAGGCCACGACCCGTTTTCAGTGTGCCCCATATTTAAACAATAACCACATAAAAAAATATGGATATATTGGTATTTGATCGAAAACGGATTCAGACAGTTGCAATCCGGATTTGGACACGGATTGTAGGTACGAGTATATGGGAAACGGGCGTTAGTCAAAAGACCCAGTTAACGTACAATTATTTACTACCGTTGTTTTTAGTTATGTTACAACCACGATGACTTGATAATACTTTATCTCAAGATAAAATAGACCCATATTATATTAGGTGGCTCGTCAAAACACGTTTGTGTTCAGGATAGCAACAAAACATGTTTCTGGTACAAAATAGATTATATTGCAACTAAGTAGGTACCTAATATTACTGTATGTAAAATACCTGTTGTACCACTATTTGTTATGTGTGCAATAAAGATTTTAAATAAATAAATAATATGCCTAAGATGTGTTGTCGTCCATACCGTGTGGCACTTTAGGGCCAGTAATCTATTATTATCTGTTAAGACGGTTTGCATTCAACGATATCTAAGGTAGCAACTGATTACTTGCAAATTTTGTCGTTCCTTATAGTAAATACTATCCTAGTCATAAACATATGCCGTTCACACACAAAACGTACCGCATTTCATATGTATATTTTATGCAGAATATAAAAAAGTAGGGACGAAGTTTTCAGAGGGGAGTAACATGAAAAACTTACTTACCAAGTGCGAGTTTTACTCCTTTGCTTGTTATTAAATGTAGGTGATTAGAAATAATTGAACAGTTAAATAAAAATTAAGATTTTTAATGGAATCTTTACATAAACTTAGAATAAATGTGAACAGTGGTTTTTTAAGGCCCGATTCGATAAACTTTTATCCGAGAATAACTCATGTTATAAATGGCACATTGACAGTTTCAGTATGGGAAATATGTCAAAATGACAAGTTTGTTCTGAGATTAATATTTGCTCTTGTTTGATCGAATCCACCCTAACCAACATTAATATCGTGCAGCCCCGTGTATGTAATCAATTCAAATCTTTATCCTTCCTCGTTCGTCCTTCCATTTTCTGTGCAGTCGTATATCTTGATATTTTATTAAGTAATTAATTATATTAATCAAAATCTAACTGCCTAAAGGAACCGTCGGAGCCAAACATGGACTCCGCCGTCTTGGGCCTGCCAGGCCTCTTGGCCTCGTCACTGCGGAACTGAAGGTCCTCCTCCAACCACTCACTGTATCCCTCCACTCTCTTCTCCCAGTATTCTGGAAAATGTAAAGATAACACTTTTGTTAGACATTTGACAAAGAGTGCTGTTAAATTTTCCTATAGGCATATTTAAACAGTGAGTTCAGGGAATGCTTCCAAGTTCCTCAAGAAAATCTTCCTCCAGATTTATCCTCACCATTCAAGGTTACATTATCTAAATAATACAACAAATATTGGAATTCGAATTTAGGTTTTGTCAAGTTCTTTAATGTAAAACGTCTATGTACCTATAATGTCTTTTATAGTGCCGCCTTCTCCACCGTACTCCGCTGGTAATACTTCCTTGGGAATATATTTGTACATCTCCTCATAATTTCTATTGTGTACAAAGAGCTGAAAATGTCAACAATAGCAGACATTAATACTACATGGTAAGTTACCTACATTTAATAAATTAGCTTTCTTTTTTTTTCTTTAAACATATATAATCTAGTGCTGAACCTACTATGTAATCAACATGATGGTGGAGCACTGGTGACCTGAAATACGGGTTTTTCCTGAAACCTTTAATATCAGGCACCAGTCGCCCACACACAAAGTGCCACGAACTATTTATTACTGTAAGACACACTTTAATATTTATATGTGAGAGAAATAAGTTTTTTTTTTGTTATTCAATACAGGATTATATGTATGAATACTAAAATGTTGTGAGTACTAATGATGATGACATTGACTCAAACAAAATTGGGCACACCCAGACGATACTCACTCGATTTTTACTCTTTTCATTCAAAAGTGCTTTTATAGCATTCAAGAACATTTCGAATCCAGGCGGAACATTTATATAGTGGGTTCCTTTCATCCTGAAAGGATTGACGTCCTGGAAATTAATAAAATTATTTTCATAGATACTCTACTATTATTTTAAACGAAATTAGCACTACTAATGTTACTGAAACTGACCATAAAAGATACGATAAAGTTTGGTATCATATCATAAATTCTTTATTGAGCCGAAGGCTCATGTTGTATCGATATGGAAATTATTTAAACTGCAATTTAAATGGTGAATCGCCGCGAAAAAGTCTCTAGGTCTGATGTATTCTCAATCACTGCGGCTTAGATTTATTATAGTGCTTATTGGTAACTTTTGTGCTTAGTACCAACGTGCCACTATTTAAAAGTATGACCATCAGTTTCAACATAAATGATCTTTGATGACAGCAACCAATACCTGTAAAGAGACAACCAATTTCTTCATCTGTATTGGCGTCATTTGCATGAAGTGACCCAACGTGACTCCCTCCAGGTCGAGCACTGCTCTGATTCCTGCCACTATGCAGTTGTCATCTTCCATTATGATGATCTGTCAAATGAATTTGCGCATTTATATGATTAACAAAAAGCTACTTTAAGTAATTCATATTCTAAGGACAACTCTCAAATTAATGTGTCATGAAACTTGAAAAAAAAAACGAATTGCCTAAGGTGGGAATCGAAACCACGATTTTTCAAAAATAAATTATTTTCATCGAATCGAAAAACGTTGCCTTAAATCTCATTACCTCGCACTGATTCCTACTAGACAGCCATTATTAAACGTACCTTTTGTAAAATATTGGACGCAGATATTATATCTGACACTGTGTATTTATTGGGATTGTACTTTCCAGGCCTCACTATAGCGACCCTCGGCTCCGCAGGGCCGGCCAACTTCGGCAAAATTAAGACAGCGCTGAAAAATATAACAGCCCGTTACAACTTGTTGAAGTTAACTGCGCTCCTGGCTGCCGTGACGTCACATCGACGCTCTGGTATGGAAGGGGAGAAAGCGAGGATGTGTGCAAGTGCGGGTTAGTGCAAGGAGAGTCGCATCCAGCTAACTTGACCGGGTTATAATGTCATTTCTGCTACCTTTACCAGATCACCTACATTACACGAATTCTCAAAGGCTCAGAATACTTATTTTCTATTGGAATCTATACTAATATTATAAATGCGAAAGTAACTCTGTCTGTCTCGCTTTCACGCCTAAACCACTGAACCGATTTTGATGAAATTTGGCATAGAGATAGTTTGAGTCCCGGGAAAAGACATAGGATAGTTTTTATCCCGGTTTTTGAAACAGGGACGCGTGCGATACAGTTTTTTCGTGACAGACAAAATTCCACGCGGGCGAAGCCGCGGGCGGAAAGCTAGTCATAAATAACTTGAGAGAATCTAATTGCCTTAGGTGGGAATCGAACCCACGATCTATCGAGTAAATCTATATTTTTTTCTATTCTTTATTTTTTCTATCACACATCAAACAAATAGGTACGATTATCTACATATTTACCTACTTACCCCAAACCTAGAATTTCATGAAACAAAGGATCTTTATGTTTTATCCGAAAGAGATCTGTCGCAGTGTTCCGAACTGTGTAGTGGAAATCTAGTTTTTCCTTGGCTCGTTCTAAGCTGAACTTACATCCTCTCAGAAATGCGGCCAGCCACTGGTCATCTGAAGAAGAGAGTTAAAGTTCAATAAATTATTAAAATTAGCAAATATTTTTACAACTAACACATAAAAAAATTAAACTTATTGATTACTCAAATAAAAGTGTGTCCGCGAGGCAATGAGGCGAGGATGCTGGCTGCATTTCCTCGCTGGATAGCCAGCATTCAAATTTTCCGAAATTTTTATTAAGTTGAAATAAATTAACCAATAAATGAAGATAATTTTTATTTATCGCATAAAGTTGACCCTTCAACCTTATAAAAAAAACACAGAGCTACACAGTACAATTTAATTATAACCACACTCAATCTGTGTAACATATTAAGTCATCAGTATAGAATTGGTCCATAAACCTTGTTTGACTCTTCATACGTATTTGCTTAATAATTCTTTAAAACAGTATTTTAATATAGGGAGATATCATCACTTTTTATAAAAATCGCTACAATAAGAGACTATCTCATAAATAAAGTCCATGATTCATCATTTCAGCCATAGGACGTCCACTGCTGAACATAGGCCTTCCCCAATGATTTCCACAATGGCCGGTTGGTGGCGGCCTGCATCCAGTGTCCAGTTAATTGCTAAGTTTTTTTTTTTTATCCACAACGAGGAAGCTCTTGGCCTGTATCTCACCTGATTGCTGGTTTACAACTGTAGAGATAAGTAATTTTGGTACCTACATAGGTAGGTAGATATATCAGGATAAAGTCATCAGTAACTTTATGATAGATGCATTTATTTATACTACAGTAAGTCAAATAAATATGTGTATGTTTGTTTATGTTCTGAAACTCTATTACGCCACACAAATTCAAGGTTTAAAGACTAGTTAGCCATAATCAAAACTTACCTGTTCGGGCATGTATATGCGGTTGCTTGGCTATCCAATCTTTGATATGCTGTATAGCATTGTTCATTTTTGTTTCATCTTCATTGAGTTCCAATCGGGCCTTTTCGGCCAATTCCGGACATAACACACGAACACCCATTGTAGCTACAAACAACTAAATGCAACAAATACTGTATTGTAGATGTCCTTCCCCGCTCATACACAAATGTATACAGCGACGCCAAAACCGATATTTGGTCGCTATCTTGATTATCCATATCTTTGGCTGATACACGTTTGTCTCAATAAGCGGATACTACATTCAAATTTTTGTACTTGCCGACAAAAGTAGAACATTCCATAAAGAAAACGATTCAGACAATGATGGTCATTGGTTTCACCTTAAAATAGCATTCCTTCTACATAGCTTACGTTTTATGCTTCAAGCATAGTGGATATTAACACAAATATTCTTGTATTAGTTGTATATCTTCTAACTTATAATAAATCTGTAGAGGTCAATTCTGTACATGAAATATATTTTCAAAATAACTATCAGGGGGTGATTAGTGATCGATACTGATGCCAAAAATGCAATCAGTAAAATTTTTGTCTGTCTGTCTGTCTGTCTGTCTGTCTGTCTGTATGTTCAATATAGAAACAAAAACCACTTGACGGATTTTAACGAAACTTGGTACAATTATTTTTCATACTCCTGGGCAGGTTATAGGATACTTAGGAATTCCGAAAGGAACGGGAATTTGCGGGAAAATCCTTTTGTACGAAAAATCTAAACCGCTTAAGTTAGACGCTTGAAATTTAGCATGCAGGTACCTCGCCCATTTGCGACGACACTGTGACATCTCGACATATACGATTNCCACTGTTTTTGATATATCACAGTGTCGTCGCAAATGGACGACAAATATTCTTGTATTAGTTGTATATCTTCTAACTTATAATAAATCTGTAGAGGTCAATTCTGTACATGAAATATATTTTCAAAATAACTATCAGGGGGTGATTAGTGATCGATACTGATGCCAAAAATGCAATCAGTAAAATTTTTGTCTGTCTGTCTGTCTGTCTGTCTGTCTGTCTGTATGTTCCTTATAGAAACAAAAACCACTTGACGGATTTTAACGAAACTTGGTACAATTATTTTTCATACTCCTGGGCAGGTTATAGGATACTTAGGAATTCCGAAAGGAACGGGAATTTGCGGGAAAATCCTTTTGTACGAAAAATCTAAACCGCTTAAGTTAGACGCTTGAAATTTAGCATGCAGGTACCTTAGTAAACTTAAAGCTTAGTTACAACAGGATATTGCAAAATTCCTATGGGACCGGGAGTTAGTGGGAAAAAACATTTGTATGAAAAAATCTAAACCGCGTAAGATAGACTCTTGAAATTTGGCATGCAGGTACCTTAGTAAACTTAAAGTTTAGTTGCAACAGGATATTGCAAAATTCCCACGGAAACGGGAGTTAGCGGGAAAAAACATTTGTATGACAAAATCTAAACCGCGTAAGATAGACTCTTGAAACTTGGCATGCAGGTACCTTAGTAAACTTAAAGCTTAGTTACAACAGGATATTGCAAAATTCTCACGGGAACGAGAGTTAGCGGGAAAAAACATTTGTATGAAAAAATCTGAACCGCGTAAGATAGATGAAAGGGGGGTAAAACGAGATCCACGCGCACGAAGTCGCGGGCGGCCGCTAGTTTATTATACATATAATCAAAAGCTCGAGGTTGTGTGAAAACCCACAGATGACAAAAAAGGTAATTCAAAGAACAATTGTTAGGTACTTAGCACCTTTAATACAATGCATTACGTTCATACATAATATTATATTAATACCTTGAAGTAGAAAAAAATAGTACCTACTAGGTATTCGATTACCTATTCAATGTTTAAACTAAAATTCTTATCATAGATATCAACGTTTTTCCTACGATCTTGAAAATTCAAACATCATAATATTATAATTTTCTATGAAACCGAATGACTATTCACAGAGGTAAGGTGGGTGTAAAGCTACTTATCACTTGACTCAAATAAAATTATATTTGTAGTTCAACCAAAAGTTATAACTAGTTAAATACTCAACTCATCAATAGCGATGACTGCTCATTTAGCTATGCTTAACTTTAACACTGAAATTACATAATTTCAAATATTTTATATCTGCACAATAACTGTTAGATTCATAGCTGATGTGACTGGTATTTTGCATACTGTGTGGTCTATAAATTATTGTATTATCTACTTCGTTCGTTAATTTCAGCCAAATGACGTCCACTACTGGACAAAGGCCCCCCCAAAGATTTTTATAACGACCGGTCCTGCTCTGCCCACATCCAGCCTATTCCCGCGACCTTCGCCCCCATTATCTACTTAAACGAAATAAATGACTACACTCTAGGTATTAATCATACATTGATCATTGTTCTAGTCAAATTCGAGCTGCCTGAAGGACCCCTCGACGCCGAACATGCTCTCTGCCGTCCTAGGCTTGCCTGGCCTTTTGGACTCGTCAGTGCCGTACTTCAAGTCCTCTTCCAACCAATCGCTGTACTCCTCTACTTTCTTCTTCCAGTAATCTGCAAGTATTATACCTATTATAATAGTACCTACTACATGTAGAGTTCGATCTGTCATAGAAATACAATAAATAGAATAAAATAAAATTATCGGGCCCTTTTTACCATAAAATGTAGACAATGTTTTTTTTCAACGACCAAACTTGATCAACAAAATTGATTTTAGATTGTCGATGTTTGAACAGTTGTTCATACCAAATTTTTGGGTAAAATTAATTTATTTCATACCGACAATTTCTTGTATGGTCCCTGCATCACCCCCGTACTCTTTAGGTAAAACCTCCCTCGGGATACTTTTGTACATTTCATCATAATTTTTGTTATGGACATACAGCTGAAAAAAATATAGTTACAATCAAAATTAACTCTTAGGCTGAGTTGCACCACATTACCTTAACCGTAACTATAACCATAACCGGTGTTTTTTGTATGGAGTTTGTCAGACTTGACGTTTGTTATAGTTAAAGTAAGTTGGTGCATCTCAGCCTTAGTAAAAAGGGTTAGGGTAATGGGAGCGTTATTCGAATACTTACTCGTTTCTGATTCTTCTCATTGAGCAAACCTTTGATAGCGTTAAATATTGTCTCGAACCCTGCAGGAGTGTTTAAGTAGTGCGTCCCTTTCATTCGCAAAGGAAGAGCATCCTGAAACCATTTACTACATTTTATTTGCTGAATTATTGGGATAAAAGGAAGATTTCAGTGAATATGTATAATAGTCAACTCAATAAATACTATCGACGGTACATCAGACTATTTTTGCACCAAATTGCTATCAAATATTGCATGATCATTTATGTTAATGATTCTAGGTCCATGGGACCATAAAGGTTTTGATTCCCATGTGAAATGTTAGAGAATAAGGTTCAAAAGGTCGTATGTAACACCGCCTCTGTGGTCTAGTGGTAAGACCACCTGCTTTAGACGCAGAGGTCCCGGGTTCGATTCCCAGTGGGGGCAGATTTTTCTGTTCTGTTTGGTTGGTGGTAGGGCTTGTTCTAAGTCTGCCTGGCTAGCTACCACCATCTTACCTAAGTCTGTCGCCATAACAACAATGTTAACAGCATTGTTGTGTTCCGGCAGTTAGAGGTAAGATAGCCAGTTCCTCTGTGGTTGAGGATTCCGGGTGAAGCTTGCTTCCACCTGCGGCCTGATCGTCACTTACCATCAGGTGAGATGCAGGCCAAGAGCTTCCTCGTAATGGATAAAAAAAAATGTTACTTTTCTTGTCAGTTTTAAACCGACGGAAGGACAACAGAATTAACCTTAAGGGTTCCGTTTGGTACAGAACCTTAAAACAAAAATAATCATGTAATCCCAATTAGCTTTTAATTTACAGTGAAAGAACATTTTCAGGCAGGTATTTTGTTATAAGTAGGTCTACTGAAATACATACATAGATGCGTATTAAAACAAGAAAAGATAAATTTCAAGACAAAAATAGTAAGACACGGGTCATAACGCGACATTTATTAATGAGTTACATTATGTACTCACGACTTGACGTTTCGACTGCTATGCTGCAGCCGTGGTCACAAGCAGACACTATTTCAGTTGAAATGGAACGCGAAAGTTTAAAATCTAAGGCCGTTCATAGAAAAAAGACAATTCCCTACCCCTATTTTCTCGTTTAGATTGAATAAACATACCTGACCCGACACCACCATTTTCTTCATTTGCAGAGGAGTCATTTGGAAAAAGTGTGCCATCGTAACTCCTTCCAAGTCTAGTATTGTTTGTAATCCCGTGACAACCAAATGGTCGTCTTCGAACAAAAGTATCTGCGGACAATTAAGTATGAGTACGGAGAAAATTTCCTTGTAAAGTCTAATTTCTTTCCTCTTCTCTAAAAATTTATTTAAAAAAATTGTATATTTATAGAACTTACTTTGATTAACACATAGGATACAGATAAAACGTCGCTAATAGAATATTTATCCGCATCATATCTTCCAGGGCTGATTATGCAGATTTTAGGGGACTTTGGTCCAGGTGCTTTGGGCAAAATTAAGTAACTCCTGCAAAAATATAGATATTCAAAACATTTTGTAGGAAAAAACGTCTGTAACTAAATGGTAGTCAGGTAAGATTTCAATTGTTATACGCTGTTCAGTGTTGTGAAGTGTTTTTTGCGATTTCATTTTACTAGCATAACCGGACTTTTAATATTTATTTATTTGTTTTTATTTTCACCAATTTGTACTATCTTTACAGGTCAATAACCGAATGCTATATATTTTTACACTAAGTACACATTGATATAGCATGTTGCTTGTCACATACCCCAGTTCAAGGATTTCATTAAAAAGTGGATCTTTGTGATGGAGCCTGTATAGATCTGGAGCCGTTTTGCGAATCGCATAATAGAGATCCAGTTTTTCTTTAGTACGCTCTAAACTAAACTTGCATCCTCGGAGAAAAGCTATCAACCATTGATCGTCTAGAAATTAAAAATGCAGTCATTAATTACTAAAATATAATATCATTGTATGGGCATAAAGCGAAATAAATCCTCCAAAATATATGTAATATACAGGATAATCCAATTTGAGTTCCAATCTTGCAATATAAAGTCGTGAATAATAGCGAATGTTTTGGTTGTTCTACGGAATAACTGTCGGTTAGAACTGTGAAGCTCCGCGTAGTCTGTGGCGTAATCTTACTATCCTTTTAGAATTTTTATTTCTGTACAACATCTGAACAATCTCAACGTCTATGTTGTTGCAATTCACGAAAGCGAGTGAGTTTTACTGGTGGCTTTTCAAAAAATTGATAGACATTACACTATCGTTAGTTCACTCGCCTTCGTGAGTTGCAAGAACTATACTAAACGTTAAACTTAAAACACGTTCCATTTTTTTTTTACTTTACAGTGCTGCAATAAAGAAAACTCGAATTGTATCACCCCATCACAGACAAAAGAAGACAATATACTAGGAGAATAATGATAAAAGAAAAAAACCTCGCTTATATTATAAAAATAAGTTACCTATCCTGGCGTTTAAGTGTGGCTGCTTAGCCAGCCAGTCTTTAAGATGTTGCAGATCCTCTTTCACCCTCTTTGGATCTTCGTTCAACTCCCCCTGTGCAACCGCTGCCAGTTCCGGGTTCAACTCACGTACCGACATTTTAAACTACAATCAACTCACTACAGCAAAAAGGTCGTAACAATAACTTTGCCAGAAGCAAAATAAAACGATATCGACTACACTATCACCGATAATGTTATCAATTTTAATTCTATAATGACCCGTATCACCAAGCTGATATCGGGTAAATTGCAAATAAATACAAAGCATTAAATTGTTATGTAGGCTGGTACATAAATACTTTCGATCATTGCATTTTATTAATATAACCTACTACATTTCAATCTTGAAAGTGCCAATGTGACTGTACATTGGAAAATCCGTCAGATAAAATTGCATTCACATTGACATCAGTAAAAACCAACTGCATTGATTGATTTATTTTATTTATTAATATTTATATCATAAAACTGTTTACATTTGAAATGGTTAGCTGCAGTGCAGCATGTAGGTACCTAATTGGAGGACAAGTTCCGGCAGCTTTTTGGTGCCAAACAAAGTGCTCATTATTATACTTAGACTGAGTTGCACCACCTAACTTTGACAGTTACTATAACGATAACCGGTGTATTTTGTATGGAGTTTGACAGATTTTTGACGTTTGTCAAAGTTAAAGTAAGATGGTGCAACCCAGCCTTAATTTATATGGTAGTTTCACATGTTAATATGAACCTATATCACAAATTCAATGAGTTATAGAAGGATGGATACTCTGCCGGCAAGCCCTGCCCGAACATGTTCTCCGTCGTCCTCGGTCCCTCCGGTCTCAGGGCCTCATCCGTGCCGAACTGGAGGTCCTCCTCCAGCCACTCACTGTATTCCTCTATCTTCGCACGCCAGTAATCTGCACCAAAACAAAATCATATTATTTCTATCTAACAACACCTATTTTTATTGGCAGTCAAACTGTAGAATCTGGATACATAGGAGTTGCAGCGGTGGGAACGAGAGGTGGGAATAGTCCCAGCCCGTGGGCTTATTGTAAAGCGCGCGCGCACAGGTGACTTTTTTGTCACTGTACTAGTATAAAGGAAATCAATAGTTGGAAATATTACCAATAATTTCTTGCAGTGTGCCACCACTTCCGCCGTATTCTTCAGGCATAATCTCTTGTGAAAGACCGGGATTGGTGTACATTTCTTCGTAGTTATTCTCACCAACGACATTTAGCTGTAAAAATATTTATAGTTGTCAGTAGGCATTTCTCAAGTTATGATTAAAAGAAATAACCTACTATGAAAAGTTACCTAATTTTCAATGTAGGTAAAGTGATACAATCTGATAACGCATAAAAAGATTCATGTCGAGTTGAAAGAAATTATCACTGTACACTGTACAGCTCTATGCTGCTTTGCTTTGCTGTTGTTTAACAGCCAAATTATATGACAGTCTTCTTACTCCTGAAAACTTGCGACTGAAAGTAGCGTTTTGCCTGTTACGAATACATTGCTTACAGTTTTCACAAATTTATTCATTTTAGATTCATGATCGCCGTACTCACTTGATTTTGTCTTTGGTCATCAAGTAGTCTTAGGATCTCTCTCAAAAGCCCCGAGAAATCATTCGGAAGATTTATCAGATAAGAAGCATTTGTGTGAAATGGTACTGCGTCCTAAAATCAAATAATTAAGTGTATATTTACAATAACATAACGATTCCTAGAGACTCCGAAAAAATTTTGCGATATTAATTTATTTAATCCATTTACCTGCTGGCTCACTATAATCATCTTTATTTGTAGTGGTTGCAATTGCAACCACTGCAATAGGTTTATATTACGGCAATCTATTATTACTATGTTGCCTGCTATTATTGAATTATCATCGTCCACGAGCATTAACTGAAAAAAGTTTACATTATAATAACTGAATAAAAAAAAACACTTATAAAAGAGGCGTGAATTAACCGAAATTTCACTGGTACTCAAAATGCAAGAAATAAAGTAGGTACTTTTCCATCAAAAACAATATTAATCTTATATACCTAGGTAACTCCTACCTTGTCAATGGTTTGTGTAACTGAGAATGCATTAATGGCGCCCAATTCCAATAAACCAGGGACTCCCAAACGTATCAAAGTGACACGTGGCGCTGCAGGGTCCTTCAGCCTGGGCAACGGTAAGTAGAATCTGTAAAAAAACGTACAAAGTTACCCAATCTTTCTGTGGGCTGCAAAAATTAAGATCACAACCCTTGTGTCAGCGGACATTATGAGGCCCCTGATGACTCATGGGACCAACTGCAACGGCCCCACAAATTAAAGAATCATTATTTTATATTATTTTGATTCAATGCTACAATATTCAAGATTTCTGGATAAAGAGACTCCATCTCACTGGTCAGTTGACCATGAATGCCCAGTGTTTATTATAGTTTTCACAATTTCTCTTTACAGGGCAGAAGGAAAACTTACCCAGAATCTACCAGTCTCCTAAAAGTTTCATTTCTATGATGCAACCGATTAAAATCACTTGCAGTGAGCCGACAAGTATAAAATAAGTCGAGTTTTTTCTTCACTTTCTCCATGTTATATTTACAACCTCGAATAAAACTGGCTAACCATTGTTCATCTGTAAAGATAAAAAGTTTGAGAATAATCAAATAATTCAAAACATAGCCTTAATAAAGTTTTAATGCATTTTAAAATTGTCTAAGCAGAGTCAATTTGAGATTTTCCCTAAGTAATGAAGACAAAGGCAATCACTTTTCGTCAATTCATGAATACCATATTATTACGTAAATATGTAGTTTTAGACCTCCCATATTACAGAATTGAATCTTTATGACATTACCTACGCTAATGTTATAAATTTAATAACGCTCAATAATAATGCACTGTCGTAACTTTATTGTCATTGTTTATCACATTTTCAACCAGCACATTACAATTTTACCTTGTAAAGGAATTCTATAAACAAAACTAATCCTTACCTGTTCTGGCTTTAAGATGAGGTTGGGTTTGTAACCAATCCCTGATCTCTTGCACTGCATCACGCAATTTATTCATGTCTTCTTGAAAGTTTGTACGGGCTTTTTCAGCTAATTCTGGTGCTAAAGGACGTATTGACATTGCCATTTTGTGTAAATTATTGATGCAAAATAAACTATGTGACTGTTGATCGACAAAGCTCAAACGCGAAACCCAATTCTTATCTTCGGTTTTGGCGCTATCTACGACCTACGTCACGTCGGAATATTAATAATACTATTTATTGAGCCATATACAAAGTATCCAAACAGACGCCAACGTCTGGAATTTATTAATATTTATGCTGCTAATTCAGAAGTTTTCTTGTAATACTTTTGCATAATGAAACTTAAAGTAAATATAATGCATATTAAAAGGCACACATATTTAAATAAAACATTTATTCTCGTGTATTTACACCTCCTCACTATTTTTACATTTTACAACCCTGTTATTTATTTTAAATTGGTACAGCAATCAGCATAATAGTTAAATAATGGTACGAGGTTGACAATAAAATATTTTTCCGACCTAACACAAATTTTGAAATACCTATTATATTTTTAAATACTTATTCCTTGCCGACTAATAAGATCACAGAAATTATAAATATGGCTGATTAAACTACCTACAAACACACAAGTCAAATTATTGTTAACACATTGATTTAAAAAGGTGCAGTCATAATAAAAGTCTACCAATTAAAAATGCAGAACTTAAACCAACCTAAGTAGCTGTTTAGCGGTCTGAGTAAAGGTATAAGTCCAAGATGATGCTACAGACTGAAACCGCAGGCGACACTGCGGCAAGAGACTGCGGTTGACCGCAGTGAAAAAGTCAATGAAACAGTGGTGGCTTTCAGTTTGCTTGAAGTCTACAGTCCATCTTGGACTTGTACCTTAAACAGAACAATGAGGCTAACCGTATGTCTGCATGCAGCATCGCAGTGGAGGCATAATTGAGGAAGGCAATGCCGTTTTTGATGCGTGGTTCAAACAGAATAAATATCTGTATTTTCTTCATACGAGTATTACCACAGAATTACTATTATTGCTAGATATTACTTCTTGGCTTTGTGCTGCAACATCTGCCTCGCAGCTTACGCAGAGCTTTATTCTTGGTAAATGACGACGTCATAACTATCCTTCAAGGTTTAAAGCTTCCATGATTTATTTACATGTCTAATATGAAGTCGTCTACCATTTTATATTTAACTGATGCCTTTGTTAAAAACCGCCTTTGAGGGAAGCGCAGCATGGCAGACAATATTAAGCAGTTTTGTTTTAATTTTTTACCATACACACTAAAAGCATTTAAAATCATAAATTTAATTCATGTTGTAATTTTGAATATACATAATTTCATTAAACATAACAACAAACAATCGTTATACATTGTATGTATAACAGTTATACATATAGATAGTGTAGAAATAAATAAATAAAATTACCATAATTACGGAATAAAAAGAAAGCAAGAATAGTTGATTGCCTATTTAAAAATAATTAAGAAAAGTTAAATCCTCCAAACTCTTACATAACTATGTGACTTAAAATTACATTAACAGTATTATAAATTAATTAAATCACAAAATCGGATGACAATACTTAATTGTCTAAAATACTTAAGTTTATTTATTACTTATGATTAACATTTGCACTAAGAAGCATGGAATATAGCGCGTTTTTAAGTTCGAGTTTTATAGCATATTGTTATAAAATTAAGTAAGTTCATATAAGTCATTACCTTTCATTGCATCTGAATTTTTACAAAGTACAGTTTTTTTATTAAAGAGTCATTTTATTCGTTGGAGTTGGCATAAATTACAGAATAAGAGGTCAAACATGAACCATGGTATTTGAAAGTATTAAAATACTCTCCTTGTATTCGAACTGACGTATAGTCGTAACTTTAGAAGCTTCTGATGTACATAAAAATCTTATTTCTTACAATTTCCATATAAAAATGGTCTTACTTCGTATTTAAATTGCCAAAACATCGATGTGCAGTAGATTCTTTCTTAGATTCTTTGTTGTAAATTTCGTACAATTTGTATGGAATGTGACTATACTATCTTGACAGGTTTTTGACCCATTATACTTTGTATGTGATTCCAGCTTCTGTACTTAGACTTAGGAAGGTCGTTTTACGCTTGTCTAAAAAAATAATTGCTTCTTTTCAACCGTATGATAAAGTAATTAAGATTCAAATGGTGGAAATATATTCGACAGAGCCATATAAAGGGTTAACGAAAAAGGGCACAGTAATTAGGCATCATGAACTAAAAGGATTACTTCATCGAAACATTTATAAATATAACAAATTATTAAATCATCGTTTTATCATTATTTGATCTATGTGCCTATTTATTATCATGATGATAGATTTAGAAGATCATCATCATTTATTTGTTTGTTAAATCAACAAAACTATCGGTTTCCGCAGTCACAAATCTGAAGTGAATTTTTGCATACAAGTTCACATCTAGCTATCATAAAGCATTTCAATAAAATATATTTTTTTATTATTACTTGATATACATTCCAACCCTTGTATTTCCCAACGTATTTTATAAACATTGTATTTTAAATATAAGTATCTTTTTTTTAGTATGAGTGATATGGCCGTGGGTAAATAAATGGTAGCCTGTCTTCATAAATAAACATTTCTGGTAAATGCCCGAATTAACATTTCGAAATTTTAAATTAAATTCGTTTCGCAATGATATTGTTACGTACTCTGAACTCGCACTATTCAGATTGCTTTACATTTAGACGCTTACCTATGAAATTAGTGATTTTTGTAGGAATTTAATAGAATTCTTTCTTTGGTTTATGTAGATGACAGACATACGTAATAAGTTTATTTCAAAATGATAACTTTTATCTCATTCGTCCTAATCGGTCATACATGATGAAAATCGATAAATAAATACTCCTAAAGTTATAATTTTCTTTAATACAGAAGTACGTATATGTAAAACCTCACAGAAAACGGCAATTTTATGGGTAAGCGCCAACAACGATGCCCCACAAGGCCGTATTCGTCAACAGGACTAGGTTGCCTGTCAAAAAGGCAAGTGGAACGAAGTTGACGAACGCGTTATTAACGTTGTTTGCATTATATGCTATTTCCATTTAATCTAAGTTATTTTCTAGCTGCGCTGATGGCAACAGTAAGGCTTTTCTCTTGACATTTCATCCACTTAACAATAACACCTCTTTTCTCTCCTTAATTAACGACAAAAGACAGATGAAAGCAAAATTTGAGGCACGAAAATGTTCATCTAGATTCTAGACAGTAAAAAAATACAGTTCTTACAGCTGCATACTGTTACTTTTCTTCTTTATCGTCGATTCTTTGGTTGTTTTGTCTTTCTTATTGTTGTTGGTAAGGAGAAAAAGGACGTGGTTATTTTATTTTTATTGGTTGGCTGCCAGAATCAGGCCCTTTAGGAGCTTGTCTAGTGGTGCGCTCGCGCCGCTCCGCATCAGAAGTTGGCGAACAACTTGAGTTCGTCAGGGTCCAGCGAGCGCACCGCCTTCCAGTCGGTCTCGGGGTACTCGTCGAAATTCGACGTATCGCCCTCGTACGATACGGATGGAATGATCGGCGGCTGAAAAAAAAAGATCACCTAAGTTAAAACTGAAAACTTTTCTTCTTCTCCCATGTGGTGATAAATGTTTCCACGTTTGACAATGTCACGTAAACATTGGAATGTCATTGGTAATGGAACAATGGAAGTTGATTGGTAAATTCAATGTCAAAATAACATCAGGCACTATGACTGACTGAAGTACTTATTAACGCTTAATTTTGTTCTTTTAATATGTAACTTCATAACGCCTTCGTTGTATGAATTAGAATGGTGGGGAACCAAAGGTGGTAAATAAAAATCACTTTTGTTTGGGAAACTTCTCAGTTTTTTTGTTACTTCTAGAGTCAGTAGCGCTTGAGTCTTATTCCATTTAATGGGTATCTTATTGATAAATTAAGCACTAAAGAGTTTCCTACACTCAAAACGTGGAAAAAATCCTGTTATTACTACCTAGATTAATGAATAAATACTGACCTGTAATTTTTTCATGAAGACATCCGCCCAGTCTATATGTTTGAACCATCTGTGCCGTTTCACGTCCTCGGATCCGCACTGCAACAAAGAAAAGAAGCCGATCTTAACAAAAATAAACGGACATTAAGAAAAGAGGGCATATTAATAGGTCAGTAGAGATTCTAGAGATTTTTATGCTATCATATCAATCATAATAGCATCATTGAAACTCAAACAATCGCTTCCATCGATATCATGCGATCCTGCCTGGGTGGGCGAATTTAGAACAAGATTGTTATTATTGGCGGACGCGACGTTAGACATCGTAAACTTAGGTCTAGAACGAGCGTTACGTCTAATATATTATTATCCCGAAGTCTATGCCAACCGGGACATCGGTTTATTGCTGGTTTTGTAGTCCAGTGTAGAAATCGCCCAGTATTGTCAATCAATGCGGCCACAAAACTGAGCTATCACGCTACTGACGCAATCAGAGCATGCAAATGTTGCGTGAGATTCGTACTGTAATAATTGATCTGTCTAAACGCCAAACAATTATTTGTTCACCTCTACGTAATGAGTTTTTCAGCTTCCGATACCTACTAAAAGTAACAATTATTTTTAGGATCCACGGGCTTGAATAGTAGCTATAACGATACGGCTATCAAAAGACTAGTTTTCGTTACCATAAAGATACCTATTAGGTATGTTTATGGCATAAACCATAATCTTGGTAAACCATGTCTCCAAAAATCAGCGTGTGCCCACGGCTGTTGCAGCACAACTGAAACGTCATGCTATGAGTATTCATATTTGAGTTCCATAGCTCTGTTTTTAATCATATCTTCATCTAAAATTTAGAAGCATTAGCGTAATTAATTAATTAGTATAAATCGAGTAAATAAACGAAAGTGCGCCATGAAGAACTGCAGCGTAACGCACGTTTGAATATGCATGCTCGCGCTGACCGCAGTAACGCAAGTCACCTGGCTCCTCGGAAACCTAGTTTTCTATGCGACGCATTATTTATTATACAGGTTGGTCGAGCTTGCACTGAATTTACATTATCCTTGTCTCCAGTATCTGCAATGTTAATATACTTAAATACTTGGTTTTTCTCTAGTATTTCAAAAAGTTAACAAGCCTAAACCTGCAATTTTACCAGAAACCATTTTGGACGTTGTTAAGAGTGAGTATGTTTTAAAGTTTATTTAAAATTTTGTTTGAGATGCGACTCTTAACGCTAGAAATTTTTGTTTAACCAACCGCAACTTGTTTTCTAATTCAGGATGATTTAGATTCAGCTGTTGTTTTGCTTTAGCTTATTTTTAGTTATAGATATATGGTTAGGTACAATAATAATATTGGTTATCTCATATGATGTGGTGTATGGGTTGGAGCACGCTGTATAATGTGTTTGCGTCGCGATAAGTCAGCGCATGGCCGTTTGATCTCGCCGCGCGGACACCTGACTGATGACTTTCTAAACGCAGTACGGACGCGCACAGTAGGAGAAAATACACTGACTACTAGAAACTCCAGGGTAAAAATAGATCATGTTGCCAGTCACATCTTTTTAGACTGTCCAAGTCCAATGATTATCCCCTAAAGGGATGATCGAAGACATCCATTAATGCTTGTGCGCATTAACATTTAAATCTAACGTCGCTTTACCACGGTTCTTACTAGTACATGAATAGAGTTTATCAATTCAAAAGTTTTAGTGTAATACGATGTTTTAGAAACTCAATTTATTGTGCTTCTTTTTTCTTGTACCTTTAACTTAAAAATTAATAGTCGTTTGTGTTTATAAAATGTGCAATCTGGTATTTTTCATTGTACCTAACAAACTAGCATCGTCTACTGGAGATTTATTTTAATTACAATAAAAGGTCGGCAACCCGATGAAAGTAATTCGAAAGGTTAGCTACAAGGTATATTAATGACTGCTAATTGACCTTAAATAATCTGTACTACATCTTAATTGAGCGTTTGGTGTGCCAAAAGACTGTCTATACCCACTTATTTCTATTTGTAGAAAATAGCCCGGAACACTTTGTGCCATAGCATAGGATTGTTGTTACAAAAGTAGTTAAAATCCATCACATCATAGAACCTGCTATGAGAAAGTGTGCTATTATTGAAAAAATCTTAGACCTGTAGGGCTGGGATGCGCGCCACGATTTTGCGCGATAAGCCCATACATATGTCGTCTAAAACATCGATAATATTTTATAATTCACGCACAGCCTATAGGCTATTAGGTATAACCCAATCATCACTTACCCAGGTGAGATAAAACTAGAACGCAAATTGAATTTAAGTTAATAAAATTAATTTTCACAAAAATCCGACATCGGTATTGATGTTATATTAAGTGAACTAAAGAAATAAAAATAATTACGTTCTTATAAAATGGGACATACCATGATTAATATTTTCGAACAAACTAGTACTTACCTACATATATTTTTGAAGTCGGTTAAAAAGAAGACTTACAAAAAATTTAACTTGAATTAAAAGTAAGTTGAGGGAGTAACATCGTTCACAAGTTAACGTAGCACATAAGGCGATTCAAATAAATATCGCAATAATCAAAATAGCTGGTCGAGAGGAAATGTTAATTATGTAAGTAGAACTGGTTCAGCACAGCGACTTTATTCATTGATATAATAATTATAAGGTACCTACAGACAGAACAAGTTTAGATTAAACCTAAGTGTTACTAGGTCAATGCATAATTCCTATAGAATGTGTTGGGTCTATTTTAAAGCACATGATACTAATTTTAAACTCCCGATTTTCCTATGAAAATGATATCAAAGAAAAACGTTATGAATAATACTATAATTAATATCCATGTCAATACGCCCACGGAATGTGAGCTACAAAATGTTTAGATTTTTAGTAGAGCGGCGTACGATGCGATGTCGAGCGATATTTAGGAGTTACAGGGACGTAGCTGGAGGGCAGCCAACTTCAAGAGCTAAATAAACGTTTTTTGTGCATAATCTCGTAAAATTAAACTGGTCAATCAAACAAGAGTGATGGCGTATGTTGCTGAAAATATCGCCTGTGATTGTAATCGTTTGTCAGTAAATTATTTAACTATATGCTCTGAGCTAAATTTTATAATCGTTTTTTTTTCTATCTAGGATTTCCTCTTAACTTTTTAATGTATTCAGGATTTCCATTAAACGAATGGTTGACTTTAGGTAAATACACAGATGCAACATTGCTTTATTTGTGAATGTATGTCAATTTATATTCAGGCAGACTAGTAAAAGTAAATCAAAATTAGTTAAATATGAACAAAATATGGACAGTTAATTTAATATTAATACGATAACCTCATAAAAAAGATAAAACATCAAGTGCATCCCGCTCTAAAATCGGCAGTAGGCTAAAGTCGTTGAGAACCAAAGATTTGGATTTACGTTTGTTCAGAGGCGGGTCAAGCGCAAGGCTGATTATTTCTGAAGCGGCCAACTCCACCGCTGTCTCCGGAGGCCGAGGCTAACGTTCAACAATAAACAATGCCTAGTTTTAACTCAGCCCGAAATAAAATTTCAAACCAAACAACACGCACAACTTTCATAAATAGAACCGTTATAGAAACGTATTCAAATTAGTCGGCGACCTTATAAGATGATGACGAATATTTTACAACGTCAAATGTGGAAACATCATTTCAGAATGTATGATCTTATAAGTAAGCCTACATTTTAATGAATCATGGGCTCGTGAATCACGCTACTAAAGCAAGCCTTGTAGATAGGCGTGTGGGAGCGAGCATGCGCCTACGAGCTTCAATAACGCGAATGTCCTTGTCGCGAAGCTAGCATCGACTCGTAAGTTCTGTTTTAGAAGAGAGATTAATCAGGACCGAATCTCATGACAAAAACTGACTTATGCGCGAACGCGACAATATTGCTTTATCATTGTATACTTTTATTATAGTACTTGTACCACTTTGATTAGATTCAAAATCGTAAAACAACTCAAAAAATATGGTAAGTACCATCTACCACGGCATCATAGACAAACCTAAAAAGGATTTAGGACGCTATTTGGATCAAATATGTAATTGCTCAATAATGAATAATAAATAAATAAATAAATAAATCACATCTCTTCATAATATGAACTATCACACAGCATACATAGATCATATGCTGCAATACAGGGATGATTGAATTGTCTAATTGAATAATTACCTTCATATTTCCTAATCGTTTCGTCCTGTCTTGAACCAAAAGTTTCTTGATGATGTCCTTAGCAACGGGATCCAAGTGACGCGGCCATTCCACTCTGCCGTTGAGGATCTTCTCGTATATACCAAAAGGGTTGTCGTCGTAGAATGGCGGATACCCGACCAACATTTCGTAGATGAGCACTCCTGAAACACGACATTATAGAGTCAACTGCAAAATTCATCATATTCACAAGTTTAGATAATCCACCCCGTTTATAAATCAAGTGACAAGCTCTTGAGAAGCAATCTGACAACCTATAAAATTAACACGATTTATTAACTGACTTCATAACATCAATATCTTAGCTTTGTGGTTTAAGATATGCGCTAGTGAAACATATCACAATAAATTCGAATTAACATTTTCTCAGTCATTAATATGTCTTCGATTTCTCAATCTATTATTCTAAATAGAATAGGTACGCATCAAAACAAAATAATTAATGTGTAATATGCATGACACCATACCCGACTTAATATTAATTTTATTTGTTGGTTTATTTTTAACGGGTAATTAATGCTTCGTGTTGACTGCCACAGATGCATCTAATGAATCGCAAGATTATAATATCGACTGTATATTGCCAAGTAAACTACCAAGCCATGGCCAAAACGAATAATTATAAGGACGCCCGAACTTTCATTAGATAAATTACCTAGCCGCCTGTACAGCTTGGCACTGTTTTGCCTTGTGGTGATGTTGTATTACGAAATATGAAATATATGCAGTCTAAAGATGTAAATAAATGCAACTGTAAACAATGTAGGATTATTAATGAAGTTATAATAAGTCTTTAATATCAGTACTACCTACGAGTATAACTATAGCGAACTGTCCCGGCTGCGCACGTGTAATTTCTTTGGGTGTTTGTTTTTTACCTATACATATGGACAAACGACTTCAAGCTTCATTGTTCGTAATCATTAAAGTGGATATTATAATGTGTTTTTTCGTGAAAAAGTAGAGACATCCTGGCGCTATAAAATAATGGAAACATTTTCTCGTGGTACCTTATTAAGCTATCCCAATGCCAACGCTTGCTCTATGGCAACATGAATTTCTTTGCTGTGTGCTATGGCCAGCAGCTCTACAGGACATGAATTTATGAAATAGCGTGTCTCTAAACTATATTAACATCACGCATGCCGCATGCTACACACAATAGGAGCGGAGCATCAATGAAGAATGTTGCAAAAACGGGTAAGAGAATTCAAACCAATTTCACGCGAACGAAGTCGCGGGCACAGTTAAAGCGGAATAAAATTGAATTTGCATACTTTAAACTATAAACACAAATTGGTTAAAACTGATATTTTATTGTAACAAAGCGAATACCGTTTATTTATTTATTTATTTAAGGATAGTACACAGCACAATATCAATCTGTGTTAACAATGTTTTTAGTAGATTTTGTTTATAGCAACAACCAAATACACCGCATCACGCGCGTGATACACGAATGATTCACGTCTTCTTATCAATAAAATTGTCATCATTTTATTATTGTTGTTTTTACTTTTTAGTTAATAAATGATAACCTTGTTGGTTGGTTAAGTAAATAAATAATGGACTGACCTAGAGCCCACCAGTCCACCGCCTTGTTGTGTCCTTTGCTTTGGATGATTTCTGGCGCCAGGTACTCGGGCGTCCCGCATAACGTCCAGGTTCTGTCCGTGAGCTTCTTGGCGAAGCCGAAGTCCGTGATCTTCAGGTGCCCGTCCTTGGCTAGGAGTAGGTTTTCCGGCTTCAGGTCTCGGTACACGATATTCCGGGCGTGGAGGTACTCTAGCGCCGATACTATTTCTGCCGCGTAGAAATTACCTGTAATTTTATTCGATGAGTAAACAAAGGCTCTTTTTCTATTGAGTATGGTGTATTTGCCCAATATGGCAAATCATTTTATCGTGGTTATCTTTCCTACCTTTGGAAAGTAAAATGGTATACTTAATTAAGTATGTTCAATTTTAGGCCACTGGCCCTATGGTCAGTAACTCTGTCTGTGTCTTGCTTTCACGCCTAAACCACTGAACCGACTTTGATGAAATTTGGCATAGAGATAGTTTGAGTCCCGGGAAAGGACATAGGATAGTTTTTATCCCGGTTTTTGAAACAGGGACGCGCTCGATAAAGTTTTTCTGTGACAGACAAAATTCCACGCGGACAAGGCCGCGGGCGGAAAGCTAGTCTTAAAATAAACAGTAGTTAATAAATGGATTTCTGTGACAACAGGTAAACAAAGGCAGTATATTCCTACTTATAATTTCTACACATCATAAATATCAACCGCTATCCATTTATAATCTTTCAATAATATTAACATACAAATTAATTCTTTAACCATTAAAATTAAAATGATATGGCGACTAAAATGACCTACCAAAATGCAAATGATACTTTCATACTAAATGTTTTTATATACAAATTAAAATTCGTACTTTCTCTTTAATGTTGAATTTGATTATTTGTAATGCAAAAAAATATCATTTTAACCAGAGAAATGTTAAATCTGTATTTATTAATAAAGGCAAAATATCTATGCATGAATGTAGGTCAATCTGTCCGAATAATTTTATTTTAACTATTTTTGGCACGAAATATTAATTTCGAATTAGTTTTTATGCAAATGGATGCAAATGACCGAAGCATGTTGAATAAACGGTATTTAGTAAAACATGGGAATGAGGACACCTACCTAGGTGTCCCTTATATCTTGGTTATATTTGTAACATATTAAAGAAATAAAATTATTTGTTTTGTTCGATTAACTTAGTAGGTCAGGGAAGAGCCTGGATGCTGTCAGCCCAGGACCAGCCTTTATGGAAATCCTCGGGGGAGGCCTTTGTCCAGCAGTGAACGTCATTTGGCTGAAAGGAACGAACGAATGTAACTAATTAACTCATAGAATAAATCCGAGTGTAGTTACGAGTATGTGTGCCTATGCTCTTTGTAATTAGGGATGTTGCGAATATTCGCATCCGCATCCGCATATGCGGAACATTCGCATTGATTTTGACATTCGCATCCGCATCCGCATCCGCATAAATCGACGAGGATCTGATGCGGATGCGGATTTGTAGCAGGTCGCGACAAGAAAGAAAGGGGCAGTCCCGGCGAGTGGCGCGCGTCAACCGAATGTGTTGATTGACCAATAGGAAAGCAATGATTTTTGTTTTTGGACCTCAGTGAATCGGTGACGGTGGCGCGTCTTGCTATTCTTTTGTTGTAATTACTAGTGAGTAGTTGTGACAAGTGACAAGAACTGAAGCATACGTTTGATTTTATTGTGGTTTTTGTTAAGAACTGAACTAACTGTATTGTTTAACGTAATACGTAATACCTTCATTCGTATTACGTACCTTAAGTAAAGTTTTATTTACTATTTGGATAAGTGAACTATGCCACCACCTACGCAAAGTGAAATTTGGACGTATTTCAAACCTGTGGACAACGACCGGGAGAAATCGCAATGTAAAATATGTAACAAAACATATTCGCGAAAGGGCCGAACAACATCGTCATTAATAAATCATTTGAAATCAATGCACGCTAAGGAGTTTGCTTTGTTTGAAAAAGCAAATAACGAAAAGCTACAGAAAATAAAAAATGATGCCGGTAAGTTATATTTTATGCAATATTTTTTTTGTTAAGTCGGGCGTTTATTATTGTCTGACATCGCTGATTTATCCTTATGATATTATAGTAGTTTTGGGTAATTATATAGGTAGCTATTTAAAAACTTGTAATTTCTTTAATAAGGGCCGTTCCTACGAGTTGCGTAAAACTGAATTTTGAATCCAAAATCTTAGATTTGTCATATGAACTAAAATTTAGCTAAAAGTGTAGTTTAATACAGTTTTTCAAATTTAATTATTATTTTATATAATAATTACTAAAAGTAATTCATTCTCTTCTTTATTATTAAATAAAAAATGATAAATAAGGCTGTGTTTCTTTCTCTACTAAGCCAAAACTTAAGTTTTTTGTACAGATCCGCATCCGCATCCGCATCCGCGGATGTGGAAAAAAGTGGATCCGCAACATCCCTATTTGTAATACCCAAGCAAAATAAAATCTTCGCCGGAAATTGAAAAATAATGGAATCATGTTTATTTTGAGCCGTAACAGTCGTTGCGAATGCCTAGAGTTTAGCTGAACGGAGCGTCACTCGTATTTTAATAAACCATACAAAACCCATATTGATTTACAGACTGTGACCCTCTTTTAGGGGATGATATCTGAAAAAACCTGAAATACGTGTTTTTCATTTATAGGTACTTTACTTAGCTTTTCGCCCGCGGCTTCGGTGACAGAAAAACTTTATCGCGCGCATCCCTGTTTCAAAAACCGGGACTCAAACTATCTCTATGCCAAATTTAATTAAAATCGGTTCAGTTTTAGGTTTAGGCGTGAAAGCGACATAGACAGACAGAGTTACTTTGGCATTTATAATATTAAGTATAAGATAGGTGTGCTCCTGTGAAGGTTCCAATAAAATATTCTATCACTTTCTTCCCCATAAATGGTCAAGTTTGAAAATCCTTACTTAGTGCACCATTAGACTCATAAGGAACCCACGTGTCTTTGAAGTCTCTAGACCCAGCGGTTTGGGCTGTGCGTTGGTAGTAGATATACGCCAGTCAGTCAGTTTTCCTTTTTAAGATGCTCATTAAAAATAAGAGCAAATCACAGCTAGAGGTCAATGACAAGACGAGTCGAACGTATTTTATATAGAAACAACAAATGAGTTAACTAAAGGACTGTGGGCGAATTTGCGTCACGCGGAACTAGCGCGGAATGACATCAGTAATGAGGCAAACGCCTTCATCTTTCCGAACTAGACAAAAGCTACATAGAGCGCTATAAATTTAAGAAAAAAAAGTTATTAAAAATTATTATTCACAAAGAAACCATTTTAGCGAAAGGGGCCGTCCATATATTACGTCATTCTAAATTAGGGGGGGGGGGTTGGTCTGCGGATGACGGTAAATGATAGATAGGGGGGGGGGGTGTTTCGAAATTGACGTCATTCTTATTTATTTATTTATAGTTTCGCTAGTATGATTGTAGGGGGGGGGGGGTCTAAAATCTGAAAAAATCGATGACGTAATTTATGGACGGCCCCAAAGTTAATATAAATAAGCACAAAAGTCTATCAAAATATACAGGAAACTTTCACAGTTTTAAACTAATAACAAGTTTTTATCAAACACCTAAAAACGCGTTTATCAGTAAGCACTTTTGATTTATCAAAGATCTTTCAAGATTTCGTTACAATTATGCCGAAATATGTGATCGGAACATGTTCATTTCATTTTAGGTACTTATTTTATTGTGTTTACTTCACAGCTTTACTCAATACGAGACAAAACTTTATAATTAGATGTAGACAATGCGCAGCGGATCGGCCGGCGTCATGGTGTCTGCGGCGAGTGATCGCAGACGTCGCACGCGCAGCTTTAGCCCGACTCCAACCCGACACCCTTGAGGAACTAATAAAAACCGTCAAGACGTTTGTAGAACATTATTTAACCTGCAAAATTTGTTTCTGCGCTCGCGTCAACAGCTATTTTTAAATAAGACGCGAGGAGATTAAGCGCACCAAAAGACTGGAAATGTGAATGAATGCGTTGAGTCCTTTTTCAGAGAACATTACAGATACTTAATAATATAATACATAATGCGATATAATAAGCGCACAAATCTAAAACATATTTAGCTACATTTCGTTTTAAGATTGTAATGATATATGATGAATCAAATAAAGATCTTTCATTGGATACTTTCATATCCTATTCTTATAAGTAGTAAGTTTTATTACTCTTACAAAATCGTATTTCTTTCTCATCTTAAAATGTTTTCTTAAAACTACAAAACAATCTGTCGTTTACAACTTTTGTTATTAATACGTAATTTGAAGTAGGTAAGCCATAAAACTCGGTTTTGTAGGCAATTGAAAATTTTTACAACAGTCGTTAATCCTGCTCGTACTACGTAAAACTTATTTCGGGCAAAGTAGGAAGTGTGCTTTCATTTACTAATTACTGTTTCAACCTATTTTCGCTTAAACGACACAGCTGAAATACTCCAATTAAACTTGAAGAGGAAGAGCAAAGCCCGAGCCAAGTCCAAATTACACTGTTCCCCAGACCGCTTATCTTGAGAGACATACTACTACGTCTAGTCAGGTCAGACAAAATCTGACTGAAAACTGTGCCAATTTCAGCGCGAATCTAGCAAAATACTAAATAGAATTATAAAACACCAAAATAAATGCGTTTAACATAGCATTTTTTCGTATTTATATAATTAACAATATATTTGTCTAGCGCTATCACTAACTGGTTTATTTTAAACCAAGTGTATTTCATCTTATTCTGAACTCAGTGCTGAAATGTCTCCAAAAATAACCCGTCCTTCACATACCTCTATTCTTAAAAAGTTATCTAGTACTAGCACTAGCTCATGTGTTGCGATGTTTTCTAATGTAGCTAACTCCAAGAACGATAAAAATCAGTGAAGTAGTGGACAACGTAGGTGATTGCTAAACCGCGCTCGAACGCGACGCGCTGGCACCATTCCAGCACTTATTTATTTACCCCACTACAATTTATTTATTTACATCGTTCAATAAATAATAATATATATTATTTTTATGATCGTACCGGGTTTCATTATCATGTCATCAAAGCAATAATCATGGCACCAAGGAATACGGATTCAGTGTTTGTTTATAAGGCGTACGAACATTGTGTAGGTAGAGTCAGTTGCAAGACATCAAAGCGAGTCCGACAACCGGCGTGACGGGTGCAAGGTCGGCGCTTTCCGAAGTCATTCGGAGTCGGTTGTCATCATATTATAGTAATATTACGTAATCAACAATTTTCCGTAACTTAAATATACATGCATAATAATTTAGATCAAATTGGCACTGACCCACAAGTTTATCATATTATGCTATTTGCTTGAGAATGCAGCCACTCAAGATATTTCTCAATAATGACAAAAGGTTCCTGCAGTTTCTATTCCAATACTTTAAGTACCAATCCAATTTCAATTTTGCTAATAGCTTTCTATGTTCAAAAACACAGACTCGACTCTAGATAAATTGAAACAGCTCATTACGAACACGTTGTTACAGTAATGTATGCGTCTTATTGATATTCAGAAATACTCCAGTGTCTATTAGTGAATGTATCTGAAGATTATAGCCATCGGAACTGCCATCTGTTAATAAATACACGGCCATATACAATTTTAAACTTTAATTTCATTGTTATACACACTATATCAATTTATTGTAAGTGTACGAAGATATATTAAAAGGGCTGCCAAGGTTGTGACATGGAAGATTAGTTTACACATCACGTCAAATGACAAAGCAGCTTACGCCCAAAGTTCTGGCTGAAGGCCAGAAAATAATGTGCGTAGGCAAGTTTCGTCTTACTTTCTCCTTTACTTTTCATTGTTAAGATTTCTTAATAGTTAATGTTATCCAGTCTTTCCAATTTATACATTAAAACTTAATTTCATTCCAAGCTCTGTCATGTTAAGTTCCATTTTAGAACGCGAATCAGGTTAACGCTGCACATTTTTTATTATGAAACAACCACTCTCCCTAATTTGGTTTGAATTAGAGATCTGTAGTTAAGGGATCGGGATACCAATTTAAGTTCTATATTGTGAGATTATGATCTAAAAAATGTACAGCCTGATCATCAGTTTCCATCAAGTGAGATCTGGACAAAGAGCTTCCTCGTTGTGGATAAAAGAACAAGATCAGAATATAGTTTTTCTTCAATTCACAAAACCGATCTACTATTGTTAGTTACAACGTTAGAAAGAAAGAAAGAAACGTGTTTATGCGATAGCAGACCACAGCTTTACTTCGGATAATGAGGATTCTCCTTACTGGATTTACGGGCGATGTGTACGTACCAATACTGTTGCTGAACCGGCCCGCGTTCCTGAGGTAGGAGAACAGCTCTCCACCGCACACGTAGTCGAACAGCATGTAGATGCATGAGTCGTCGTGTGTCCACCATCGTCTGCAAATACAGGCTCATTCAATAAGTGGTCTACAAACGAATGTTTCTGAGTTTCAAGGATATTGGACCTTTGACACAGGCCGCTACCAACCGGGCAACATGGAAAGCATTAGGGGAGGCCAATGTTCAGCAGTGGACGTCCTATGGCTGAGATGATGATGATAATAGGACCTAGAAGGACCTACATCTTTTAACGACAAATTGTACAAGACTTACAAGACAAAAGCGAAATAAGAAATGAAAGTGAAGTACTTTCATCTCTTATTTCCTAACAATTTACGTAAATTGTTGACTCTACATAATCTATTTCCATGTTCAAGACGCTCTAAAAGTTGCAAAAACACCATCTTATATTTTAGGCTGTCAACAACAAAACAAGTGATAATAAACATTGTCGACCGATAGATCATAGTGGCGTCTGATAAAAAGTGACAGTGTGATGCTTGCCAGATAGTAGAGTACGGCACTCGGCGCACGCGCGTCGAAATGTGTCGCCCCGCCTCATAGTTGGCGCCTAAATGGCCACTTCTTTATGCCAATGACAGCTTTCATATACAAAGCATTTACTCGTAATTATACGATACATTATTGTGAAATCTCATTAATAATGTTACAGCGTTTAGTACAGAAATAAAGCGCAATAAAGTTCCCAAGAGTTTATACTCGTAATATGACGAATTTAATGATAAATAAGATCGGGGCCAAGGAATGATAAATCTTGATATTTACGCCGTCTCTTTGTAAATTTGCTGAGAAGGGAACTACTATGCCTAATATGCGTGCTCTGACGGTACGCATTTGGCCCGTCGCATATAAACAATGCGTCTGGAATACACTGTCCATCCATTCCAAAATGCTCGTAGACAATATTGGCACCGCGCCTCGGCCGAGTGTCGCGTAAGTGACGGGCGTCGCATGCGCAAGTATATTTAATTAGATCACAATTACTTATATTATAAAAGTAAAAAGACTAAACTAAACAAGCTGTTCGGAACAACTGTCAACTATCGACTACTACATAATTCGCAGGCTTCGCGAACTTCTGCTTTGCTCCCCCGTTCACAATCAACTAAGGGTGGATTCGACCAAACAAGAGACAAATAAGGGAGAGTCCGCTAATTTGGACCAGTTTTTTTCAATCCCATTTTACACATAGTTTTCGTTTGTTTTTGTTAATGTCCATGGTATATGATAAAAGATACATTATTCAACTTACTATTTCATAAGTATTAATTAACATGATTGTTGTATATTTAGCACAAATCAACAAAGTACGAGTTCAGAGCTTCGGTCCAATTTAGCCAACCGGTTCGATAATTTGTACCACAGGGTTACTAAATTGGATTTCAATAAATTTCAAGCCTATAAAAAAACTATGGCAAAATATTATACGATACATTCTTAACAAATTAGGAAACGAAAAGGAACAGTAGTTAATAACATAGACAATTGATATTGTTTTACACGTTATCACGATTTTGAGTACAACTTTTGTAATTCCAATTATCGTAACGCACACTTGTACCTAATCTACTTTGCAAGTCTTTTGCTTTCATTTATTGTTAGTCAAACATAACTACGCTATTATAACTTCAAAATATGATTTACTAAAAAAAATTTCAAAATCCTTTGGTAAAGTTCCATACAACTTGATGTGGTACAATTTAGCCGACTAGGTGATAGTGCTTTTAAAAAATCGGTAAAAAATATAGCTTATAAATACCGAAAAATGTTTCAAATAATTGTAATCCACACTAATTTACGCTTCTAAATAATATATTAGAAACACCCTGTGATTAAATTTAACAAAATTACAAACTAAACATGTATTGTCAAAAGTTACTTGAAAACAATGAAAAAATACTTTTCAAAATAAAACACACGTGTTTGTTGTCACGGCAAAAACCACATGGCCGATATTAATTGATTTTAGTTGTGTATCGCTGAGTGTTGCAATTACAGACATTCAATAAATACTGTACGAAATATGAGGGTGGTACAATTTACCCGGCGGTACAATATACCGAACTCTCCTTAATCTCAGAATAAATCATCAGTCATTCGACATTTTGACATGTATCCCATACTGAAACTGTCAATGTTCCATTTATACCAGAAGATATTCTAGGATACAAGTTTGGTCGAATCTGGCCTAAATGAGCTTATGATAGCAGCCACAAAAGGAATTATTAATTTTATCCATCATAAAACAATGCTTGTTAAATGATTCACTAACCATACAGCGAAACGTCCCATAAAGATTTACTTCGAGACGATATATTGGCCTTTATCTTCCAACACACTGAACTCAGAACCGATATAACTCGTCGTTAATTTGGTGGAAATGAGTAGTCGCCAAGTCGGATCTATTCGTTACTGCAAAGTGCAATGTGGTCATAATAAGTCGCACACGAGCGGCCATAATTTATAGCTCTCTGAGTGATGGACGGGCTACGCAACGTTGGTAATTTTACTTCGGAACGATTGTATAAAAGTTTACTTATATTGTATAACGTAACAAAAAAGAGCTAATATTTTAACGGAACAATCTGTACTTACTTTTTCATTTATTTATAAAGCCAATCCCGCTAATCTCAGTAACTACTGGTTCGAAATTTCGAAATGAATTGGGTATTATTTTTACAAATATTTAAAATTGTAAATTGTAGGTTGAGATGAAAATAAAATCAGATAGCAAACTTTGGTAATATTTTGCAGTTATTTAATCATCTAGAACATTTCAATGACTTAATAGGTAGTAGGTACAACGTCTACCAACCAACTCTACATTCAGTTCAGTGCCAGTTGAATATCGTACGGCTTCTTAGAGTACCTAGCAGTATACGTTGAACTTGAAACGGTCGACGGCCTTGTTCGCAAAATAAATACGAGCCTAATTGTTATGATGGCAGCAGTAACTAATGCAATATTTAATTTTTGTTATGGCATTGCAGATTATAGCTGGCAGCTAATCATAGAACACACAATCATAAATCGAGGAAACGCCGGTTCGAACCCACTCGTAACACAAGGATATTTTTACACGAGGTGTTAACGGGACTATTTGAAATTAGTTCATTTGTATTTACAAATTACTAATATTCTTTAAAAAACATACTTCCGTTTACTTAATGACGCATCGTCTTCAATGAATATGGGAAAGTATTTCGTTTTTTAGTTTTTATTTCAATTAAGTTTTCATAAATTATTTTTATGGTAGAATCTCCTTGTCTTAGTACCGAGATCCATTTCGTTTGTCATGATAAAGATTACTACGTAATACAATTAAAGAACCGACTTTTGCAAGTTATCCTAACCGGAATGCTACTCGCTTGATATACGGTCTATTTTTAAACTCGTACAAAAAACACGTGCAAGTGCATGCACGTTTTAGCCATCAAAATAGTTTATGTACACGACGATAAATTACACTAAAATGGAAAATAAACACGTAATCAGATGGCACAGGCGTTGTTTACATTCTGGCCTAGTAGGAGGTGAGGTGGTGGTAGTAGCAGCCTACTTTCTTTTTACGCATCCCCAATCCATAACTTTTTTTTTAGAAACAAGATCACTCGTTTTTTATCATCGATCGGTCCTACAATATTCCGCAAATATCTTGCCTGCGAACTGGCCACTAAGAAACATTTTTATTTCTATTCGAACAATCAGTATCGAATGGCAATTGTTTTTTCTCACAAGACATTGCGCGCTACCATTTTCACGACACAATTTTTTTATTTTTCAAAGTTGACTAACATAGTGATTTGTTTATGCAACCGTAGAATTTATTTCAAATTATGTATTGTTACACAAAATTCACCAAAATTTTAAGACCTCACGCAAACACTAATTTATTAACAATATTCAAGTTTTCCAGTCAGCTGTTTTAAATTCCAGGCTAGTTACAAACACCATAAATAAAATATACTTACAAATTAACTATGAATGGGTGATTGATTTCGGCCAGGATGCTCTTCTCGTTCATGACGTGATCAACTTGCTTCAAACGGATGACGTCTGCCATGGACAGGATTTTCATCGCCAGGTACTCGTCCGCCGCCTTGTCACGGCACAGGCAAACTCTGCCGAATGTGCCAGTGCCTGCCAGAGAAAAAGGTACCATTTTATAATACAGTTAATACTAAGGCTGGGTTGTACCATCTTACTTTAACTATTCCAAACATCAAAAATCTATCCGAGTCCATTAAAAACACCGGCTATCGTTGTTACTCGTACAGTCAAAGTTAGGTGGTGCAACTCAGCCTTAGTCACTTCGTAAAAGGTTTCATGAAAGTAATTGATAGTACGAAATAATTGTTTCATGAAAATGCATCGGTTCAACTCATTTATCGTATCAGCATTTGCTTTAATGCATTCCTTTAATAATATCTTCCCTAATATTTGCCGATGTGAAAACCCATTCAAAACAAAGTTTGAAAACATTTCTTTGTAATATTCCAAAGCATTATATCTATCATGTTGTTAATAAAAATTGTTTCAGAGAAGAAGTGGTATTGAGTCACCTGAAAGAAATACCGGCTTTATTCGTAGCGTAAATAATTATTCCGAGCGTTTGGGCTTGTTACGGTGGTAATGTGCTGCCGATATGTAAACACGAGCTCTGATTCTAACAAAACAGCCAATTCGTTTACAAGCTGAATTATTTGTTTGATTATTTGTTACTCGAAGAACTACGAGATAGTAACTTTCATTGTTAATAAGCAAAATATACTGTAAGTACATAAGTATTATGGGTTTACAAGTTACAACAGCACGGAAAATAACAGTACCTTAACGCCAAGGTATATCATTGAGATGATAAATAGTGTGAAAGAACACGGGAGAAAGGCTTGCGTGCATACAGGTAAGTATTTTGTAGGCACATCCAAATGAAGTAAGATTACGTACCCAGTACAAAATCGAACAGATATCGGATTATTATTTTTGGCATCGGATTATTAGAGTAGGTACATAGGTACGATTATTTTATTTAAAAATTATAACTATAATAGTACATTATTGAGTTAGAATACACTGGCTGTTCTATGTAAGCCATGACGTGGTGAAAAATAAATTATAAGCAAACAACCGTCACTCAGGGGCTCAGTGCCGCTCACGGAGTTTGTCTATCTCTCAATATTGCCCGCGTGACTCATTCCCGATACCTATCTCAAAGAGTTAGAGTAATGTTTGTTATTAATGCTCTAAGTCCTAACCGCATCTCAATAGCAGTAGGGTTGCCGCAATAGACAAAAATAATATCTACTTATCATACATTATTTCATGCGTAGCGTTATTTTATCGATTATTCTCAAAATATTTGTTTACTTTAAATCCATCAAATTTTTACTTCATACTTAATAAACTTTTTCTATTCCTTTAATAAAAAGTAAGAGAAGAGCGACAGTTAATTTTGTAATGTATTGTAGAGTCTTCCAAAGATTATGACGTTTTAGTTTCTTTAGTAAAAAAATTAAGCAATTAGAATTATAGTTAAGCTATCATTACATTACATTAGCACATTATCTTTTTAAATTCAAATACCTACTCATCCTATAATTTGCACTGCCTGTGTTATAATTTGATGCATGGCTTAATAATTTACCTAGTTAATTCCAAAGCCGTTGTGCAACCCTACAGAATATAGTGTATTATAACGCTAAATCTGTGGCCAATATTGAAAGTTAATGGCAGCTCGTGGTTTCCCAACACCGTTGCAGTGACAAGTGAATTTAAGTAGAATATTTTACATTTATTTAAAACTCGTTTTTTTGCATTTTATACCAAAATTGAGACTGATATTATCTGATACTTTTTTCAAGTGCACTTTAATTCGCACTGCGTTGTTATTTGTTAGTTTGTTACCAAGGACTCTTTTCAAAATCACGAAAACAGCTTTTACAAGCTCTTAGCCTTCATCTCATATCATGCACTTAAATTAATTTATTCGGTGATCAGACTATATTTTTGGTTGATAAAATGTTTTAAATTATAGTGTGAAGTTAGTAAGGCGACCCGCGAGCTACTATTTTTAAAGAAAAAGTAACTATATTAAAATACCTCTACACTGTTATAGACGCAAAAATATAAACCAGAAATCTATCAGGTATTAGGTATGTCAGCTAAAAATAACATATCATCACTGAATAACATCTAATAATAGCCACCACCTTGTCAACCGTTCATTAAACTTTGTTAATGGTAATTAAAATCCGCTAGCATACACGTACGAGTATACAGGGTGGCCAAAACAGTGAGGTCTAAAAGAAAAATTTAGATTCCTTACATCAAGGTGTACCTAAATCACCCCCATGTATGTAATACGATTGTGCTTAGTTTAGGAGATAGAGTTAATTTTGTGATATTTTAAAATTTTGTGACCTAGTAGGCTTTAAACATNTGTATTGTGATAACAAGGCAATCCCTCCAAAATGATATCACTCCTAGGCGTTATGAACATCAAGTGAGTGTAAGTTCATATTTTTTATTTTAAAAGTTGGTATAAAATGAGTGAAATTTTTTTCGTTAATTTTTCAGTCAGTGTGTTTACTCATTATCACAGATAATAAATATAATACTAATTACTACGCATAACTCTTTTGCTCGCTAGTGTTACCTGTGCTATCTTCTTTATTTCGAACAAAAGTGCAAAAATAATTCAAACACACGGAATGTAAACCATTTCATCGTACCTACTTCGGAACTGTTCTGTAATATTTATTACGGCACTAAAATTGTTTTATTGGCGGTTACTCAAAGATTGAATGCGACTACTTGTATTATAAAATTGTTTAATGCATTTACTTTTCTTTTAGTGGCCTTGAATGAGTTTTACGATTATGATACAACACTCTATTTATAAAACATTTTGGAAATTATAACACTATAAATATTTTGTTTTACAAAAAATAAGCTATGCCAATATTGCAGTTAATGCAAGTAAGTAGGTAGGTATAACAAAATAATATAAATAAGTGGGAGCTGTATTCACGAGTACATCCAGAGTTGGCGTCCCTAATCCAGTCATAGCGGCCGTCAAATCTTTTTGAATTTTGTTTAAACGCCAACTCAAAGTCTGCCAAAGCAGAGAACAGTGTGAAGAAATCCTTTGCGTCCCATTTGTCTTGATCAACTGCAGCGGCGCGGGCAGACCGCGAAGACTGAACGACTAATGGCTGGAGCTGATGAAACACAAACAGCTCAGACAAAGACGTGACGTCTAGTTGGCCAATGAGTGTTGAGAACCTGCTTGATTAATTTAGTCTATAGGTAACCAAAACCTACCTACCCACATAGGCACTACTTTCTCAATTTACTAATTAATTACTTATTCCTCAGAATAGTCCTAAAAGGATTTTTGGGAGTACCTACATCATCCATCCCTTGCACATTTACATTTTATTAATATAATATTTTTATTTTTGTAATCTTTGGGAAAATGGAATGGGGCATTTGAGTGAGTTAAATATTTATGCGGCATTCTTCATAAAGAGGCAAAATTACAACTGATGAAGAACAAGATATTGAAATCAACGGAAGAATCGTCCATGATTTTCCTGCACTGGGGATTTATTTGCAGTTTAACGAGTATTGTAGAGTCCCCACCGGGTCGTGGGCGGCCAATAACAGTCAATTATCATCTACTCCGTTTGAAGTTGCCGCTCGTAATGAGTTTTCTCCCGACTGTCATCCGACCATACTATTTCAGCTTTACCACGTGAGAAGTGGAACACTATTTTACGTTTTATGTACGGTTTTGACGACATGTCACATATATTACACTCAAATAAGACGCACAATTATGATATCACACTGAATTAACCTATGTTTTTAAAGGTCGCAGAAGAAGAGACTTGGAAACACGAATGAAAAATTAGAGGAAAATATATTTTAAATCTGCTATCAGACAAATGTGAGTAAAATTATTTTTCTAATAAACTTCATGTTTAGTTTCGTAACAGGTCCTTGTGCTAACAACAGAAGGCTACTGGTCCAATATTTTTATTTTTAAGGTTTAATTTACGTAACACGTGTATCGAGAATCAAGATGCCATGCCAGTGACGTAGTGCACAGAGTTTCCCCATAGTGCGTTATTTTCTGTCCCTTGCGCAAGACTCCTCGGGCAGAAAGTGTTGATGGCTGCTGAGAAAATAATCTGTTTCAGAATGTATACCAAGTTGCAACAGCTGTTAATATAAACAATTATTTTAGTGAAGTGCGATTGTACACTTAGGCCGCCTTTACACAATATTTTTTTAACATGCATATTTACAAAAAGATGGATTATTATATTTGTTATCAGATTTTCTTAGCTGGTGCAGTGAAATAAATAAATATTTATGTAATAAATGACTTCTTTTATCATCTTCAAATGAGACGACAGAAATAGGCACATTTTTATTGTAGGCTGATACACTATAAGAATTATTGTTTCTTCATAGACACTAGTCAGTGTCAATAGTCGTGACACCCGAACCTTATTTTAGTTGTACGTGTTGCGAACTTTGTGACTACTTTTTTATTTGTACTTTGGGAGTCACGAACTATTTGACGCTGACTGTACAACACATATCTAATTTGAATCGTTGAGGTAATATAGATCAACGGTTGGAGGAGGGAAGGACTCGATAGAAGGGCAGCCGACTGACTAGGTCGCCGGGCGAGGCCGCTCGGGCCTCGCTACACAAATCCTCAGAAATACAATAATAATCCATTCGAATAACTAAACATTCTCATTCTTAAATTGAAACAGAAAGGGTTAAATAAAGTATAGCATAACTACCTATTGCAGTCGTAAATCTTAGCAACTGAGGATATAATTGTAACAATAAACGTATAGGTTTGTTCATGAAATCATGAGGATACTTAGTATGTAGTCTAATGTTGTTTGGCATACGTAACTATTTAACAGTAAAATACCCAGTAGCGTTATATTAATATCGGAAGCTTAAACTATAACATAAGGGGGTAATGAACTCCACTATAAAGATAGTACAACATACACGTAGGTACACGTGCTTCAAGCGAACTTCAATGTCAATTCAAGTTCCTGTAAAGTTCTTGGGTCTAGTTATTTTCGAATAAATTACAATCGGTTTCC